AGACACACACAGAGACACACACATAGACACACACATAGACACACACAGAGACACACACATAGACACACACATAGACACACACAGAGACACACAGAGACACACACAGAGACACACACATAGACACACACAGAGACACACACATAGACACACACAGCGACACACACAGAGACACACACAAAGACACACACAGAGACACACACATAGACACACACATAGACACACACAGCGACACACGCCGCCGTCTTAAATAACCTCAATAAAATATTAACACCTCGGATCCATTGCATGTGTGTGGGTGAATGTGCGTGTGTCACTTGGGGAGCGGTGGTGTAGCGGTTAGCGCTACGCTGCGCTACGAACCTAACAATATCAGTGACGATTATCTGAACCGATCCTGGGCCTCCCATAGGTCGACTCAGCCTCAAATGAGTACCTGGTGCGGTATGTAAACATCGTCACTGGGGAGACAAAGGCGGCCGGGCGTGGTGTTGGCCACCCAACCCCTCGTGTGCCGTGCCGGCCTTCATTAGGTGCTCACTAACAGCACTTGCCCCAACAGTCTGTTAAGGCTACACGGGGGATCTTTGTCTTTTTGTTTGCCACTCGGCGCGTGAGGCTGGCATTGTCTCTCCCCCATGGCCCCATCCCACGTGACCCCATCCCACGTGGCCCTGCGTGCGAACTGCAGCGGTGGCCCCTCAGGGCTCCAGCGTCGAGATTTGTGTTTTGTAGTTTTGTGTTTTGTTGTTTGTTGTTGTGTTCGGCTTCCCGTGGCGGCAGGTTGAGTTGAGCTCTCGTGCGAGAAAATGTAAAAACACGTTTCACGATGAGTGGCCCGAATGTCTGCCCATGTGACCGAGACTTTTGTGCTTGCAGATGGTTGGTCAGATACATTAACGTCGTGTGTGTGTGTATGTGTGCGTGTGTATGTATGTGTCTGTGTGAATGCGTGTGTATATGTGTGTGCGTGTGTGTGTGTGAATGCGTGTGTATGTGTGTGTGCGTGTGAATTTCATTCCCTCCCTTCTCTACGCTTGCGAAACGTGGACCCCCCTAATGGAGCAACTTCGCCGGTTAGAAACATTTAGGCTGGCCTGCCTACGATCCATCCTGGGTTTAACCAGGCTGGATTGTGTGAGGAGATCACAAATCCTTGAAAGATCTGAGCAAAGTCCCATCAGTGAGCTCCTCCGGCAGGCAAGGCTGCTTTGGCTGGGTCATGTAGCCCGCATGCCCAGCCACCGCATGCCTCAACAGCTTTTGTTTGGCCGGATCGAGGGAGCTAAACGGGCGCGGCACGGGCTAGAGAAGAGATGGAGTGATGTGGTACAGGAGGACGTGGAGCTGAGTGGACTTGCCGATGACTGGTACCAGCGGTGTCAAGATCGGCCTCTGTGGAGGAGGCTCGTGAAAGACGCTACTGGGCAGTTGGAGGCAGTCGCCCTCCAACAACAACGGAGGGCGGAGGCGCGATGCTCACAATAACGAGCAGAGCGCCAGGTGGCTAAAGCACAGCAAGTTGGCACAGTAGGGGGCACAGGTGGTGCATCAGCCAGTCATCTCGGTCATCTCAGTCAGTCGACCCGTGGCACCTGCTGGGTCTGCCCCGTGACCTCCTGCCAGTGGGCTGTTCGACACTTCACGTGGCCTCAAGGTGCACATGGCCTGGCACAAGCGTCGTAGGTGACGTCACCGCCACTTAGTGGCGAATGGCGGTTGTTGTTGTGCGTGTGAATGTATGTGTGCGTGTGAATGTGTGTGCGTGTGAATGCGTGTGTGTGCGTGTAATCTTATGACCGAACCTATCGCCGGAAATGCAGCCGGTCTCTTCAGATCTCGGAAGCTAAGCCGGTTCGAGACTGGATCAGTGCCGAGACGGGTGACCGCCAAGGCATAACAGGCGTTATAGGCTCTGTGGGCTAGCTACGTTGCGGGCAGTGGACCGGCAGCGTCTACGCCCCCCGCCTTCACCCGCCCGCCCGCGCTGGCCGGTGCGGTGAAGTATGGGCAAGCGACCCCGACAAGCCGCCCGGCGCGAGGGAGGCCTTAGTTCAGCAGTTGACGGACAACAACGGCTGTGTGTGCGTGTCCACGTGTGGGGAGCGGCGTGGCCACCCCGACTGCGCAATGCGAATTGCCCTGGACACCGACTCGCTGCGCTACGCCACCAATCGCCTTCGCCACTCTTCTCGGGGCGAGAGATGGGCACCGATGCCCCAACGTCCATTCGAGCAGCGGGAGATCAACCTTGACTTTGACTTTCTGCGCGAACGTGTCAGACTTTGCAGCCCTGCAGCTATTGCGATTGACTCGCAAAGTTACGAGTTCAAACCCCGGAGGGAGGGGGTGGGGGTTACACAGCCTACCATCGCCATCGTCGCCACGAGTCCCCCAGGGTCCATTAAATGTGTGCTGTTTGCAAGGAACTCGACAGCCGTTCGTCTGATACCTCTAGAGGTTGCCCTCCCGCCCAGGCTCCCAACCTCGCCCTGTCATATGAATGTGGAATTTCCGCGACGAGCTGAGGGCTGCCAATTGAGATGAGGGCTGCCCTCCCCCCCCCCCCCATTTTACTCGTAGGGACACGGAGACGCCGTGGATACTGAGGCACAGGTGGGGCAGAGGTTTCCACCCAGACGCTTTGTGGATGAGACGGTGCGGGGATGTCCCAGGCCACATCGGCCAAAGCGGCAATTTGCCGAGGCGGCGGCGCGCGGCGTGATTCTGGCCAGCCCTGTGAGACGCAACGTGATCTGATGATGGACAGGTGACCTTTAACAACCGGGTTAGAACCCACTGAGAGCAGTTGAATTGAGATGTGGGAATAAATGAGTACAGAACACAAAGAAGAAAATGTGTAATGAATCTAAGGTTGTTTTGAGGGAATCTTTTTTTTCGGGGGTGGGTGGATAGGAGGTGTAATGATCTGGTCTAATCGACACAGCCAAACAAATTAAATTGTCACGTGGTGCAAATGTTGCCAATTGGATTCGTTTCAGATCGCCAGGAAGTTGAATGTTGATTTGGCCGGATCACTGTGCGACTTAACACAATTGGAAAATCAGCGATTCTGAATCGTGACATTGGCTGAGAAGACTTTGCATGTAAAGTCGATATGAATGTGTAAAAAAACAATGCTCATAACAAAGGTTTTTGGGTTAGATCGCGTGAGTATAAATGTGTCGTAACCCTCCACCGCCCGACACAGCCAGTAAGGTTTGTCACGTAAACAACGCGCCAATAAGTGAACTACTTCAACCCACCGGTGTGTTGGAGAGTGAACCCACAACACATTTACAATTTAAGTACTGTGACGTTTCACTGGTAATTACATCCAGCATCATCAATGCTCACAATACATTTACACAACACAATTAAGGAAACACATTTAATAATATGTAAATGATTCAGGGATTTTACATATCAATTAAACCGAATTTGCATGTCGAGAATGCTGATTTTTGTATTACGGTTTCAGTCAATTGTAAGGGTCTGAGATGATAACATCCTCTCCTTAGGAAGAGCCTCTCAGAGTCTGAGGGACTCGCTAACAGGAGATGCCCGCGTTGGATGTTTGGCATTGTTGTTGGGAGGAAACACACGGCACACGCGGGGGGGTGGCGACACTCAAAGCCACACGCAGATGTCAACGTCCTGCCATCTCCCAGCCACCTTGCAGCCCAAGCCGCATTCCCAGGCAGTGTGCCATCACATTTACTAACCAGGCTTAGCTCCTAAGCTCTGACACAATATACCCTCCGTTCATCTGCTCTGAATCCACAATTTGGTCCGGTGAACGTTTTAGCCGATAACTCAAGCACGTCATCATCATTGTCGTCGTATTCATCATCATCATCAGCAGCAGCTAATCTGTGTAAAACAAGCAGGGGACGTAAACAAAGGGCACGAAAATGGGCAAAAGGGAAATCTGAACCCGCCCCAGCTGAACTCTGGGAGGCTGCCGTGACCTCTAACCCCTGTTGGTTCCCACTGGCACCGCAGCAGCTGCCGCTGTTGTGGACTTTTTTAAACTGAGAAATAAAAAACAAATTAGGCGCGCAAAGACATAACAAACAATCCGTGTCCCCCTCGGCTTCAGCCAGGGGTGAGGGAAGCCGTGGCACCCCCTCCCCGCCGGGACATTTTTGGCTCGCGACTTCATTTAATTCGACCAACGACAAGACGGGGCCTACCGCTGGGCCACACGCTCCGCCGAGGTACAAGAAGAAAGGGGTGAGGAGGAAGTGTCCTTCATTTAACCACGAGGCGAAACGGGGTACCCGGTGAGAGGCGTGAAACAACGTCGCCGCTGTTGCAAGGGCGACCCTGGGCTACATCACGCCATTCTGAATTGACAAAACTTATACACGTGATTTTTTTAATATACGTAACAAATGTGGACTAAAATTAACAATAATTTCATGAAAAATTAAAGAAGGCGAAGTAAATAAGATGATAGTGCATATAAACAATTAAAAAATGCGTGAAATATGATGGAATCTCTGGGGAGGAGAGAGACAAGAATAAACAAATAGCGGCAAAACTATTTAAATGAATCCAAAAAATGTGACGGCGTTGCCTTTACATAGTTGTCAACCCATACAGTTGATCCTTATTCTTGTGCAGGGAAATTGAGTTTAGGTCCATACGGCATACAGCCATTTCAATACGGGCAAAACACATTTTTTAAGTCTATTTGTGTTTCTCCCTTGTGCTGGGACTTTGTAGGTTGAACTTTGAGATTTATAAAGGCACGGAGTTGACCGATAAGGTCTGAATCGGTCTGTAAAAAGGAAGGGGTCGACCGGTATGCCAATATGAGTGACAGGAAGTGGTGTCGCGCCCGCACTGTCCATCAAAGGCTGGCACCACGTGGCATTGGGTCACTTCAGCTTTGCGCTCGGACACGTTCACCCATTGCGGAACGTGAATCGCCCCAAATTGCCCTGAGAGATGTGAACATCGCGCCCCTGCCACATGGCCGCTTCCTGGCCGCTCACCGTCAAACTTGTGGTGGCGAGCGCTGAAGTTGGCGGAGAGGAGGCGGCCTGCCTCCTCCACGCGGGCCTCCGTCTCAGAGCGGCCGGCGCGCGACAGCTTCTCCTCCATCTCGCTCGAGCAGCAGGTGTAGCGCGCCGGGCACACCTTGAGGTGCTCACCTGCCCGGGGAGAAATGGGTGGGGGGGGGGGACCACGGGGAGAGGGGACAGAGGTGCTTTAGAGATGGTCGGTCATACAAACGGATGTCAGGCAATCACGGGCCTTGCCAGCTGAAATAAAGTCCCGAGTCAGAATTAGAGGCACGCGCTAATGGGGGCCCAGACCCCACAAGCCTACGTGTGTATACGTGTTGAACGTACGTAGGCAACCGTGCTACGTATGCTGAACTCCTTTCGCACTGTATTATGCTAATCGGAGGTGCCGGGGAAAGGACAACAAAACTAAACACAATAAACAATCCGAAAAAAAATCGTTTTCAATGGAGATTTAAAAGTGCATAGCTCCAGGCATTTCCTAATGTCGGAAGGCAGAGCGTTCCAGACGGCCGCAGCCCGTACGGTGAAGCCTCTCTCAGACGCCACTGGCGCTAAGACTGGCGCAATCGGTCAGCTCGCGCCAGACAATTTTCGATGATTAACGTCCGGGAACGCGAGCGCGCCCAAGCTCGTCACGTGGGGGGAGGTGAAGCGAGTTGGCGGCCGACTCGACCTGCAGGAGCCACTGAGGGCGTTGGCCTCGTACGGGTGCGGGGCTCCAAGAAGGAAATTGGCTAAACGACGTCGGTGGGGTGCTGCGCATAAGCCAGCGAAGGCGCGAGTGGCCACAAACAGCTGAAGGGGCCCCCCGGAGTCGTGCAAACAACACAAATGTACCACCACACACTTCACCTCCAATTCAGATGGAACAAACGGAAACAATCTTATTTACATAAACGAGATAATGAATCCCTTTCATCTCCCTCCTCCTCCACGGCTAAACTCCAACGACGCCTCCAGCAGCGGCAGCACGAAATCTGGCCACGATGCTTTTTCAACAAACGCCCCACGGAGACAGGGGAGGCTAAGGGCACACGTTTTCACATTGCTTTTAAACAGAGTCCTGAACGGATTGCACCGTTGAATTGGACCTCAATTTGCCGGGGACTGCCACGGAAGAGAGCCCCTCGCCTTTGAACACAATTATCTCACGAACAGGATGCATAAAACAGAGGCGGTGAGAGAGGGAGACGGAGAGAGAGAGAGCGTGGAGGCAACCGTGCCATGTAACATATTGCCCTGAGCCACCCGGCGTTTTGTGCTTTCAACGCCTTTCCGTCTCGAGCAGACGGGGCGGAAGGTTTTAATGGAAATGTGCAGCAGTGTACGTACGCCTTCACGTCTTATTTACTGATGCAATATCCTGGGGCTAGATCTTAAAGAGGATCCCTTCTTTGACAGAGTTAAAACAAGAGACAACGTTTAGTCGGTATCGCGTTTGCGTTTTGTTGTGAGGAATCAAGAATGAAAGCCGTTCGTGCAGAGGGACATAACGAGATACATTGACAAGGGGGGGGGGGGGGGCAGTGGCATGTGCATCGTGCCATGAATTCGTCAACCTGGGTTCAATCCCTGTACCAGGGCTGACCAGGGCTGACATCGGCAGCGGGCAATATCTGAATATAAGAATAGCTTTGACCCTTTCTGGCAACAAAACAGTTGTGTTAAGATGTTAAAATACCAAACGCCTTTTGTCGTTGTCCTCTGGTCTAACACTGTTAGTGAGACGAGGCTCTAAAGAAAGCTGTCTCTGGTGTGGACCAATCGGTTTCAAAGACAATGCATTATCATATACTACCAGAGCGTGTTTTTTTTCAAGTTTACCACAAGTACGTGTGGTGAATGCAGTAACACGATTCCTTGCAAACGGTTTCTGTTTGGTGTTTTCACATCTTGAGACAACTGCCTTTTTTCCAGAAAGGGCAACACCTCTTCTTGTATTTTGATAGTGGCAAGAAAGGTCCCCTTCAATGATATGTGAACCCGCGTCACCAACTCACACTGACCCGTGTGGCGAAGTATGGTCAAACATGACCCACGCAGTGCGGGGACACCTTCAGAACCGTCTACCAAATCTCTACCAAGAGTAATAACTTTTAAAAACCCCGTGTACGTATCCACCGCGCCCGCCGGGGTTCTTAACGGATGCTGAGTTTGCGGGCGAGCTCCGACCTCGAGCGCCTCGGCGGAGCGAGGTGACGCATCCGATCTGACAGTTGTCACTGGGTGCTCCGACGCCTCCGATTGGCGGGATCTTGACACCCCCGCCTAACGCCCAGCGAGGCGGCAGCCCCTTCGGCTCACAGATCGATGCGTGCTGGGCTCCGAGCGAGGAGGCCTTTCGGGAGGAAAGCGCTCTCCGGCCATAGCGGCGGGAGACGGTCGGAGGGGGGGGGGGGCTTCGCAACATCGCCTAGAATTCCTCGTCGAGCGGCAATAGAGATGCTGTGTGAGCAATATAATAACAACAACAACAGATACAATTTCCCCATCACATATAATTGACTTTTTTTTATATCTATAATCTCACCAAGCAGCAGAGTGGAACATGATGAGTAATGCACTGAATAAATAGTCAGCTCCACGTCTTAAAATAAGATAAAAAAAATAGACAACCGGCCGCTTGGTTTTCCATAGTAATTGGTCTTCTGTAATAATGTCTTCCAGAGTAATGCTGTCAGCACACAAACTCTGGAATGGTTTTGTCCTCCAGGGACTCATCAGCCGAGTCAGGCTTTCTCCACAAAGACCGCTGGCTTTACCAGATGTGACTGGCGATGAACACGAGACCCCAGCACATGCCTACACAAGCACAGACGCAATACGGTCCGGTTGACTTGACAAGTATTTTTTTTACGTGAAAATACAACAGAGAATGATATTTGTTCAATCGTGGGTACATGGCAGTTGCCAAACCTAGAGTAATTACGATGCCCTACTTGGGGATAATTGGCCAATGAATTGTTTTAGATCTTTGCCGTTGCCATAATTATAGTTGTGCTATTGCATCACGTTGTGAAACGAAGACTTCACCATTTGGAACTCCGCAGCAAGCAGCGCATCACCCTGTCTCCGATAATGCGCCGGAAGACGACGCAATACAGCGACAGTACAAGCACTTCTGCATTGGCCTCAATAGACCTCTCCTATCCACACGCGGGCGGGGGGAGGGGGGGCACATCTTCTTAACTCGCAGCAAAGAAAAAAATTCGTCTCTTGCCAAAGCAATCTCTTCAAGTCCGAGAGCTGGAATTTATCCCAAATAAGCTCTCACACACACACACAAACAAAACGCAGTGGAAATGTGATGTTTATTATGCACTCATTGATGACTGTGCTGACACCGTGAACCCGCGACATCTGAGAACCCGGTTTATTGACGGGTGGCTGAGATCCATATTTGGACCCCAGGATCTCGCCGAAGTCGGCCGAGTGCTCTGACCGCCAAGGCGAGCGGCCACCTCCGTGTTTTATCGGGTACTGGCGTCTTTCTTCTGCACGTGGGGAGATCCGCAAGGCGATGGCTCTCAAATAGCCAGCCGGGCGGGAAGACAAAACAAGCAAACCCCGACTCGCTGTACTGCATCCAACCGATCTCACATCACTGCTCTGCAGGCGTACGCTTCGCAGAACAAATCCATCTCCCTCCGCAAACCCACCGAGCTCTCGTCCGGCGTGACGGATCGCAGAGGCCGTTCCCTCCCGCCGAGGCCCGTTTGGGCCCGTGTCACTCACTCGTCTTGTTTTATTCCACCAAAGGTGGGCACGCACGCTGCATCGGAAATGACGCTCGCATTCCAAACAGTGGAATTCATGCGACGGGCGTGAATGAAGACCATTTCGGCGGTAATGAGCGGCGAAATGGGGTGGAAGAGTTTAAGGCACCGCGCAGCAAGCAATTATCAGGATTGAAACGGTAATGAGATGATGGGTTCACTTGCAGAAATGAATGCAATGCTGAACAATAAAACCCCTGAGTCTTCACCAGACCTTGATATTTTCAATCAAACCCAGGAGTGTCTGTGCTCTGCAGATACACGCGGACGAAAAAAAGTGCACACAAAGCCCGGCTGGATTACGTTACTCACGACATGCAACATCGCCGCGACGCTAACGAGCTGATCAACGGACACGATGTCCCGCGGCAAGATTCATCGCATCGCCCGTTCGGTTTGGCGAACTATGCAAATGAATAAGAATGGCATTCTTTCAAGTCGAAAATGCAAGGGACGTCCCGAGCGATTGAGTCTCGCGCGCGCGTGCCAATGCTCTCGCATTTAAGCCGTGTGACCGCGCGCAACATTTTCAAGGAATCCGTTAATAATTCAGGCGACAACGAAGGGCATACAAATTGAGCCTCGCGTTGCCCGGGAACAAAAAACCCCCCACAAAACCGCCAGGTCCAAGTTGGCGCTCCTGGCCGCGACGTCGATCCCTGCCCAGTCGGAGGAAGACGTCAAACCGGGGCGATGACGTGGCCCAGCGGCGAGCGATGATTGCCGCTCATCACAGAGGTGCGCGGTTCCAAGCCCCAAGGCCGCACCGGCTAATGCCGCGGTTGGTGCGTGCGCCGTGATATCTACGTGCCCACAATTTGCTCCCACCGTCGATGTTGACGACGCCGTGGCGTTATTAGAAAAAAGAGGCGTTTGTCCGTCGGCGTCACAGCACAGTACAACTGTTTTCCGCGTTTGAAAATTGCCCGTTATGGATTGCGCAAGTTTAGAGTTGATTTCACTTGGCCAGGCGAGAACTCAGAGAGACCAAGATGAGTCTCGAGTGCACGAGTGACACGTGGCGTCAGCCTGCCAGTTTTGGGGGTGATGATTGCTACGTAGAGTCCCAGTCGAGTAAACTTACGGTGTGATTTTGAGATTTCATTCCCCCACGCCGCACACGCAACGGCCTACTGATGGGTGGGTGAGCGAGTAGGCCCTAGGCGCAGCGCCTGCCAGTTCCAATCGCGCTCGACCCCGCGTGGCTTCCAAAGTCCGGCGCGATTGTGGGGCGCAGTCGAGCGCGGGATTTAAATCGCTCGCGACGATGACTTTGGAGGCCGCACGCGGCCGCCGACGCGCAGGAGCGAACCGACGTCACAAAGCTACGCCCCACCCACCCCCGCC